CCGAAACGGAAAGTGAGACACAAGGGAAACCAAAAGTGAACCTTAAGGGCTTGAGGGCATTGAGTGCTGAGGGGCTGGTGCTTGAACCATCAATCTTCACATTCCTCCCTTTTGTTGCATATAAAGGAAAAGGGCGCCGTTCTCTTCTGTAGCTTCTTCGTGCTGAGTCTGGACACACTTGTCTGGGTGGTGATCTCACGGTGGTTGGGGTAGGAATGAACGTTCTGAAGAGGCAGCTACCCATACAAGTGGAGGGAGGGGTTACTTATCAGAAGTCTTTCTTTTTTGAAAGGTAGTTTGAGTTCTTCAGAGGCTGTCAGGAATGCGTAGTCTCCGTGGGTTTGTTTGAATGAGGAATTCTGTTCTGGGGGGAGGGGTGGCTCTGGTGGCAGATCGCCTTCTGCAGACAGCATTGCAAAGGTTCTTGGATGGGCCCTGGGATCCAAGCTGATGGGCTCCTACCACTCTGGTAGAAGATTGGTGGAGTCCCAGCCCTGGCCCAGCCCAGTATCTGGGCAGTGAACTGAAGTTGCTTCTCGGCCTCCTGCAGACATGACCTTGGAAAGCAAATCCTTCCCTCGGGTGCTCATGAGAGCCAGAGAGAGCATGGGGCAGTCTGGGCTAGACCTCAGCACTTGCTGAATCACGAGAGCTGGGTTTTGGAATGACAAGGTGTGGCTGGGCTGTAGCACCCAAAAGTAGGAACCAGAATGGGTGTCAGGCAAGGCCACTGTACCTGCCAGTATAGGAAGTAGGCCAAGTCAGGCTGGGCAGAGAACTCACTGGTCTGTACAAGATCCATGATTGGGAGGTGGCCTGGTAGAGGAGCTTGGGGAACTCCTCTGTCAGGATGCATTCCCTGCTGGGGAATGCAAGAACCAAGGCTGGGAGCAGCTCAAACCAGGCCAGGTTACAATACCTGCTGACATATATGTGGGTCAGGTCTGGGGGCGGAGTGAGCCGGGCTGAGCCAGGTTACAGTACCCTCTGGCAGATGTGAGAACCAGGACATCTGGGTTGGACCACAACACCAGTGAGTTCACATTAGGGCCAGAACTGGGCACTGGCTAGGTAGGCTGGGCTAGATTGTAGCATCCACCAGTATGAGTGGAACTGGGGGCATGCAGGGAAGAGCCAGGCTGTAGTGCCCACAGGTGAATGCCAAGAAGAGGCAGGCCATGCCAGATAGGACCACAGCACCCACCAGCATACACAAGACCACAGTGAATGGGGGAGTAAGCCCAGAAGGAAGGCTCTGTAGGCTCCTCTGCTGAGCCACTGCCCCCACTGTGAGCATGAGAGCTGGGACTGGGAGCAGACCAGGCTGCAGCACCCCCCAGCACCTGTGATAACGGGAAGGGAGGCCATGGCAGGGGGGAAGGTGGGCATGGTACGGGGCAGCAAGGGATCCCCGGCTGGCCACTGCCCCCACTGTGAGCATGACAGCTAAGACTAGGAGCAGACCAGGCTGGCCAGGGCTGCAGCCCCCACTGGCCTGCATGTGAGCTGGGTCAGGGGGACAGTCAGGCTGGGCTAAGCGAACATATCCACTGGTGCACGCATGAGCCAGAGTAGGTGCAGGCTGGTGGGGCTTTGCCGCAGCATCAGTTGGCAAGTGCCAGGACTGGGGGCAAGTCATGTCGGGCTGGGCCACAGTGCCAGGTGGAAAGTACAAGATCTGGGGTTGGGAGTGAGCCGAGTAGAGAAATGGTGAGTACCGTTCTGATGGGCTGCACCTCCCACCAGTGAGCATGAGAACTAGGGCTGGGGATGGGCCTGGCTGGACAGGTAGTGGCTCCCACCGGCATTAATGTGGCCTGGATGGTCGGGTTGGCCGGGCCAAGCCAGGCAGCAACATTCATTGGTATGTACAAAAGCCAAATGGGATGCAGGACAGACCAGACCAGTGTGCTGCGCATGCTGGCATGTGCAGGAACCATGGCCAGGGGCAGGCCTGAGGGGGTTACGGGGGTTGCTCCAACTAGGCTGTAGTCCCACTGGTGTACGTGAGTACTGTGTGTGTGGTGGGCAGGGTTGGGCTATTCTGCAGAATCTGAGATGGGGCTGAAGACAGGACTGACCAGGAGATGGACTCCACCAGTGTGTATAGGGTCAGCCAATGTGAGCGACAGATCAAGTAAGCCTTGTACTCACCGGCACACACAGCAGTCAGGTCTGGAGTCATCTCAGCAAGATTTTTGGGGGGATTCCTCCGACTGGGCCATTGGACTCAAAACACTGACCATGAGGAAAATCATAGGTTCTGTGGTCTGAATGCATGTGTCAGAATCGGCCTTGCTTGGTTGCTAAAGACGGTGCAGTGGACGGCATGCCCAGATGTACACAGGGGACATACTAGCCCCTTGGAGCCTGCAGAGTATCTAGTACCACAGCAGAGGATGGAGGGCAGGATAAATTGGACAACTCTCCTGGCCAAGGTTTGACAGCAAGTATCTGGGTGAGTGGAGATTCTGAGGTGGACTGTGTCGGCCAGTGGCCCTCGGAGAAGTTTTCTCAATCTTGGAGCAATGAAAGCAACAGCATCTCAGAACTACGGAAACCACATAAGCAGTATGCTCCGCCATGCTCCACATCAGGGACCCTGGGATGATATCGAGTGGCCGTCCCCCATCCCCAGCACCGAGGCAGCTAGGCTGCTGGGAGCAGCCCTCTCCTCCACACCTCAACCCTTCCCACTCTAATCAGTAGCACATTTGGGCATACATCTTTCTCAGATATATAAACATCATCAAAAATAAAATAACTTTACAAAATAAAAGCAAATAAGCATACGAAAGTGACAGAATGTTATAGTTTGGACTATGTAAGAATTAAAGTAATAAAGTTTGCTTACAGCAAACAAATGTAAGGGTTTACATGTTTTCCTGAAATTTTGTGATGCTCAAAAATTTTAAATTAAGAAAAAGCAAAGGCCCAGTGCGGTGGCCTAGCAGCTAAAAGTCCTCGCCTTGAACACGCCAGGGTCCCATATGGGCACGGGTTCTAATCCCGACAGTCTATTTCCCATCCAGCTCCCTGCTTGTGGCCTGAGAAAGCAGTCTATTTCCCATCCAGCTCCCTGCTTGTGGCCTGAGAAAGCAGTTGAGGACAGCCCAAAGCCTTGGGACCCTGCACCCATGTGGGAGACCCGGAAGAAGTTTCTGGGTCCCAGCTTCAGATCAGCGCAGTATCGGCGCTGTAGTGACTTGGGGAGTGACTCATCGGACAGAAGATCTTCCTCTCTCTCTCTCCTTCTCTCTGTATATCTGACTTTGCAATAATAAATAAATAAATCTTTAAATAATAATAATAAAATAAAATTCTTTAAAAAAAGAAAAACCAAATGTCTGAATTATGCCTCCAAAAAAAAAACAGAAAGCAAGCAAATCCTTTCATTTCCTTTTGTGATGGCCTCGGCTTCCTGAGTTCCCGGCAGTGCTCTGCCCTGGGGACCCTTGCTGCAGTCAATGGGGCAGGTGGGCAGGGTTGGTAGCCAGGGACATCTTGGAGGTAGGACATGGGACAGGACTCGCTACCACTGTCCCAACATTCCTTGTTCGTTTAGACAGTTCACTCAATCTGAGCCGCTCTGATTTGTGTCCTGGGCAGCAGGCTTGAACCATGTGGGATGCCAGCATTGCAGGCAGAGGCTTAGCTGGCTACATCACAGCTCTGGTTCAGCTAATTCGTTTAACAGAGTTAGCTATTTAAAATTTTGTATTTGGGCCCGGCGCGGTGGCGCAAGTGGTTAAGTCCTCGCCTTGCACGCCCGGGATCCCATATGGGCGCCGGTTCTAATCCCGGCAGCCCCGCTTCCCTTCCAGCTCCCTGCCTGTGGCCTGGGAAAGCAGTCGAGGACGGCCCAAAGCTTTGGGACCCTGCACCCGCATGGGAGACCCAGAAGAAGCTCCTGGCTTGGGATCGGCATAGTATCGGCCATTGCGGCTCACTTGGGGAGTGAATCATCGGACGGAAGATCTTCCTCTCTGTCTCTCCTCTCTGTATATCCGCCTTTATAATAAAAAAATAAATCTTTAAAATTTTGTATTTATTTAAAATTTTGTGTTTATTTGACAGGGGCTGAGCAGAGAGATCTTTTGTCCACTGCTCACATGCCAAATGCCCACAGCTAGGGTGGGGAACTCCATCTGGGTCCTAACCCACTTGGGGACCCAGGGACGGGGCTTTTGCTGCATCCCAGGTACGCCTGTGTGGGTGTGGCATCCAAGTTCCTGTTCTTGGTTGTGTTTCGCTTTGCGTGTGGAACACGCAGGAATTCTTGACAAGTTCAGGCACACACGGACAAATGCCTTTTCCTGCTCTGCAGCTCACCTCCCCCGATGCTGGTTCACTCATTTCCACAGACCATGGGCACCCTTGGCTTTGATTAAGGAGCCACCTGCCAAAGCAGCCAAGCCGGCGGGCGCGCTCTGGGGCTGTGGTTCCTGCATCTCCTGACCTTGCTGATTCTGCACAGTTTACATCACTCATCCTGCGTCGGGCAAGGAACTGGGGCTTTGAGGAGGTTTCTGAGCAACCCCACACCCGGTGTGCGATTATGGGTGTCCTGGTCTTCCCAGTGACGGTAACTCCACACCCCTTCTTTCTTTCTTTTTAAGATTTATTTATTTTTACTGGAAATGCAGATACGCAGAGAGGAGGAGAGATAGAGAGCAAGATCTTCCGTCCCAGGATTCACTCCCCAAGTGACTGCAATGGCCGGTGCTGTGCCAATAGGAAGCCAGGAGCTCTTCTGGGTCTCCCACACGGGTGCAGGGTCCCAAGGCCTTGACTGCTTTTCCAGGCCACAAGCAGGGAGCTGGACTGGAAGCAAGGCCGCCGGGATTAGAACCGGTGCCCATACGGGATCCTGGCGCATGCAAGGCGAGGACTTTAACTATTACGCTATCGCTCTGGGCCCCACGCCCCCTTCTTTCTGTTTTGTTTCCTTCACTCACAGTGCAGTGCCCAAGCAGGAAAAGGAAACTGAAACCAATCCCCGCCCAGTGAGCGCCGGCAGCCCCGCCCCCGAGCCCGGCTCTTAAAAGGGCCTCTGGGTACCAGCTGGCAGCATTGACCTGGTGACGGTGAGGACTCAGACCATCACCAAGACCATGGTAAGCTGAGTTCACAGGAGGACTGGGATGTGTTCCAAATGATTCCCCATTTGGTGGGGTCGCCCACAGCGAGACTCCGCTCTGAGATAGGGGAGCAGAGTGGGGAAGATTGGTACCCAGGACTGTCAGCGTTGCCTTGAAGCCCCAGGGTAGGGTTTGAGGGGTACCACTGTGAGTGGAGAAGCAGACCCCCAGGGAGCAGTGGGCCTGGGAGCACTGGACTGGGGCAGGTGGTGGACCTGGGGCACTGGACCTGGGGGGGTAGACTGGGAGGTAGTGGACCATAGGGGTAGGATCTGGGGGCAGTGGACAGGGTTGGGGTGTGGGGAGGACAGTGGATGGAGGAGGAGTAGGGCTGGGGGGGCAGTGGATGGAGGAGGGGTGGGGCTGGGGGCAGTAGGTGGGATTGGGGGCTGGGTGTAGTGGACAAAGTTGAGGGCTTAGAGGTTGTGGATAGGGTTGAGGGCTGGAGGGCAGTGAACAGGGCTGGGGGCAGTGGACAGAGCTGAAGGGCAGTGGACAGAGTTGGGGCTGGGGGCATTGAACAGAGCAGAGGGCAGTGGACAGGGCTGGATGGCAGTGGACAGGGCTGGGGGCTGGGGCAGTGGGGCTGGGGCTGGAGGGCAGTGGACGGGGCTGGAGGGCAGTGGACGGGGCTGGATGGCAGTGGATGGGGCTGGAGGGCAGTAGATAGGGTTGGGGGCTGGGGCAGTGGACAGGGCTGGAGGCTGGGGCAGTAGACGGGGCTGGAGGGCAGTGGACAGGGTTGGGGGCTGGGACAGTGGACAGGGCTGGGGGCTGGGGCAGTGAGGCTGGGGCTGGAGGGCAGTGGACGGGGCTGGAGGGCAGTGGACGGGGCTGGATGGCAGTGGATGGGGCTGGAGGGCAGTAGATAGGGTTGGGGGCTGGGGCAGTGGACAGGGCTGGAGGCTGGGGCAGTAGACGGGGCTGGAGGGCAGTGGACAGGGTTGGGGGCTGGGACAGTGGACAGGGCTGGGGGCTGGGGCAGTGAGGCTGGGGCTGGAGGGCAGTGGACGGGGCTGGAGGGCAGTGGACGGGGCTGGAGGGCAGTGGACAGGGTTGGGGGCTGGGGCAGTGGACAGGGCTGGGGCAGTGGATGGGGCTGGAGGGCAGTGGACGGGGCTGGGGGCTGGAGGGCACTGGACGGGGCTGGGGGCTGGAGGGCAGTGGACAGGGTTGGGGGCTGGGGCAGTGGACAGGGCTGGAGGCTGGGGCAGTAGATGGGGCTGAAGGGCAGTGGGCAGGACTGGGGCTGGGGCAGTGGACAGAGCGGGGGGCAGTAGATGGGGCTGGAGGGCAGTGGACAGGGTTGGGGGCTGGGGCAGTGAACAGGGCTGGAGGGCAGTGGGGACTGGAGGGCAGTGGATGGGGCTGGGGGCTGGAGGGCACTGGACGGGGCTGGGGGCTGGAGGGCAGTGGACAGGGTTGGGGGCTGGGGCAGTGGATGCAGGGAGCCAAGGTTGATTTCTGGTGCCACTTGCAGGACAGGAAACTGAGGGTGAAGAGGCTGGACGGCACAGAGATCTTCGTGCCCCTGAGCAACTCCATGACGGTGTCAGAGCTGAAGCAGCAGATCACCAAGAGTACCGAGGTGCCCGCCTTCCAGCAGCGCCTGGCTGTCCCCAGCGGGGAGATGCTGCGTGAAGGGGTCCCCCTGGTGGCCCAGGGCCTGGGAGCGGGGAGCGTCGTTCTGCTGCTGGTGCAGGACTGCGACGGTCCACTGAGCATCCTGGTGCGCAACAGCAGTGGTCATTGTAGAACTTACGAGGTCCGGCTGACACAGAAGGTGGCCCAGCTCAAGGAGCAGGTGTGCAGACGCGAGGGTGTCCAGGCCAACATGTTCTGGCTGAGCTTCGAGGACAAGACCATGGAAGATGAGCGCCAGCTGGGGGAGTATGGGCTACAGCCAAACTGCACTGTGTACATGAACTTGCGCCTGCGTGGCGGCACACACCGTCTCCCACAATAAAGCTGCAGAGCCTCGGCAGTCTCCGCGTTGAGTCTTTCCTCAGTCCCACTGCTGAAGAAGGGGGGGCCCATCTGTGGGAACAAGGTCTGACCGCCAGGGAAGGGGAAGGTCCTCACGTAAGGGCCTCGTGGGAGCTGGCAGAGAAGCTGCTGGACACACAGCCATGATCAGCCCCTGCGGGGGTGGAGAGATGTGGTGGGGGGGGTGCAGCAGACAGACCAGGCAGAGACAGGTACCCTCAGGGTCCACAGGCCTCGGCTCCAATGTCACTGGCCCCTCCTCCAGTCACTGGACTGCCCGGTCTGGCCTGGACCGTCTCTGGAGAGGTGGGACAGGGACGCCCCTAGAGCTGGCGGTGGGCCACCTCATCCCTCAGGGGAGGAAAGGTCAGCAGGTGAGGGGCTGGGCCTGAGGGCTCACCCAGCCTGACTCCCAGGCACAGCCCTGGGGGAGGCTGTGGTCTGCGGACAGCCCAGGGACCGGGTCTGGTGCAGCCGCACACGCCCACCTTGCGGGAGTGGTGGTGGGAGGAGAGGGGGGGTCTCTGTCAGAGACCCGGGAGCCCCTCGTCTCACGGATATTTGGCTTGGGGACCCCAGGTCCGTCTGCGCCCGGGGCCACGGTGCCGGCCCCGCCCCTGCGCCATTCTCGGCCTTGCCGGGCACCACGGGCGGCCTGCAGGCCCTTCTCCGTCCGGCTGGCCGGTTTGGGTGAGGGGCGCAGACGCAGCCCGAGCCGCGGGACGCCAGGGGGCGCGCCTGCCTGCGGCGGGACTCGCGCCCAGGGACCCCGGCGCGGGCCGCACGCAGCCGGCGGGGTGGGGACCCCCAGAGCGGGGGGCGCAGCGCGGCGGGCGCCAGGGAAGCCCCCGCCGCCCCTCGCTGCGGCGCCGCCGGGCGCCCCTTGGGAGTCCGGTCACGTCGGCCGCAGGGTCTGCATCAGCGCCACTCGAGCCGCGCTTCCTGGGCGGGGCGGCCGCGGCGGGGGTCCCCGCGCTTTGTTCGCGGCCGGCGCGGGTCTGCGGGCGCCGGGCGAGCCGGAGCCACCGGGCCGGGGGGCGGGGTGCGTGGGGAGCGCGGGGCGGGGTCGGCCCGCGTCCCGCCCCCGGCCCGCCCCGCGCCGCCGCCTCCCGGGAGCTGCGTCCCGGCCAGTCCCGTCCGCAGCGCGCGCTTCCCCGGCCGCCGCTCGCCGCCCTCGGCTGCGCCATGGCCCGCCCGCGGCCGTGCGGCCCGGCCCCGCTGCTGCTGCTGCTCCTGCTGGCGGCCGGCGCCGACGGGACGTGCCCGGAGCGCGCGCTGGAGCGGCGGGAGGAGGAGGCGAACGTGGTGCTCACGGGCACGGTGGAGGAGATTCTCAACGTGGACCCGGTGCAGCACACCTACTCGTGCAAGGTGGGCCCCCTCCCCCCGATCTCTGTGGCCGTGGGAGCGAGCCCGGGTCGCCCCGTAGCGCTCGCTCCCTCGGCGACTGCCCGGCCCCGGAGCAGGTCTCGCAGAACTCTGGAGCTCCAGAGAAAGTTGCTGCCGCGCCGCCCGGTCCCGGAGATACCGCACCCCCCCCCCCCAAAGCCTCCCCTTCGCCCGGAAACCTGTGCGTCCCACCCCCATCCCTCCCCGCCCGCGAGGGAAGGGCGCGGAGACTGGGGAGGGGGCTCTCCGGGCTCCGAGCTGCTCCTTCTCCACCGAGGCCTCCAGCCGGCCGAGAGGGGGTGACCAGGAGGCACGGGGGTGCGCGGCCGCCGGGGGGAGGGGACCACTGCAGTGGCCGGGGGCGGGGCCATGGTCCTGCTCCTGTGCGGGTTTGGGGGGTAGTGGGGCAGGTGCCCGGTCCTGCTCCTGGGAGCCCCTGGGGTCTGCTCCTGGGAGGGCTCCGGGGGCCTAGTCCAGGTCCCAGGACCCCAAATCAGATCACCCCTCCCCTTCGGAGACCTTCCTCCCATTGGCCTGTGCTGCTACAGCTGGGATCCCCCCGCGGACCCCCTCCCCTCCACCGCCAGGGCACCGTGCCAAGCCCCTGCAGGGTTTTCCCGGCTTCCTCCGGGCTCCTGGGTGTGGCAGGGGTGGGGGGAGGCGAAGGGAGTCCAGCCCCCTCCCAGCCCTTGGCTCCTTTCAGCCTCTGCCTGGGGGGGGGGGGGGAGCCTGGACAGGCCCTGCAGGGCCAGCTTAATGCTGAGCTTGGGGACCAGCAGCCTTGTCGCCTGAGGCTCTGCCCAGGACCCCTTGGCAGCAGGGACCCCCTCTCCTGGTGTGGGTTCGAGCAGGTGCCCTGGGGGCCCCCAGAGCAGGAGGAATGGAGGGTGGAGCTGGCCTGTGCTGCCCAAACTTGACTCTGGCTCACGGGCACCTTGAGTGTGTTGGCTTACCGGGAGGGAGGAACCACTGGCAGCCAAGCTGGTCTGCTTGCCCAGGACCCCTGTATTCAGGGTCAGGGTTCCTGGCTTTACCTGGGGGAGCCCCAGGCTTGGAGGGGAGCGGAGGAAAGAGGAGGAGAAGGTGGGGAAGGCAGGCCTCACTCAGCCCCCATAGTCCAGCCTGGGCCGAGATGCAGGTCTGAGAGCTGGGGTGTGGCAGCGCGTCACCGATCCTGCCCACGGGCAACTTGGCAACATGGCCAAGGTGCATGGGCAGTGATGCCATCTCCCATACCCTGCAGCTCCTGCCCAGTGCTCGGGTCTCCTGAGCAGCCGAACCCCCAAGGGATGGGAGCTGGTGGCACCTGCTATGTGACACCATGTCCTCTCCAGGTGCGGGTCTGGCGCTACCTGAAGGGCAAGGATGTAGTGGCCCAAGAGAGCCTGCTGGACGGTGGCAACAAGGTGGTGATTGGCGGCTTTGGAGACCCCCTCATCTGTGACAACCAGGTGTCCACTGGGGACACCAGGATCTTCTTTGTGAACCCCGCACCGCCCAGCCTGTGGCCGGCCCACAAGAATGAACTCATGCTGAACTCGAGCCTCATGCGGATCACGCTGCGGAACCTGGAGGAGGTGGAGCTCTGCGTAGGTGCGTGGCTGCGGCGTGGGCTGGGGTGCTGTGTGGGGGCAGGGGGCAGAGGAGCCACGAGGCCTGGGCAGTGGCTGGCATGGGCCATGGTCTGTGGTGCTGTTTCCCGCTTCTCGGGCTCATGACCTCCCCACTGTGCCTCTGGCCACCCTTAGGTCAGCAGCCTGGGCCCTGCTTCCATCTGGGAGTTCCAGGTCTGCTCTGCTCCCTCCCGCCCAGCCCGGTGCTCCCCTCTTCCCGGGCCTCTTTCCAGCTGAGATGCTGGACCAGGTGGATGTTCCCCAGCTGTCGGTGCACAGAAGCCCAGGCAGCCGCTGTGTGTGGGGGTGGGGGGAGGAGTTAAGGGCGGGAGGAACCCTCTGAGGAGGTGCTGCCAGTGTGCCAGAGGGCCTGCAGAGATGCAAGGCTGGGGCTAGGGCCCAGTGGCGCCCCCACATCCTGTCTCCCCCTCAGTGCTTCCTCTGGGGCACTGGGGTCGTAGCTTCCTGTCTTGGTCCGCTCAGCTGGACAGGGAGGTGCTGCCTGCAGCCCGCTGTCCTGCTGTGGTGCTGGCTGTGCAGGCTACACGCTGCCAGCCACCTGCAGGGTCCAGGGCCGCAGCCCAGAGAAGCCTGTGGCCTGCGACTAAATGGGGGGGTGGCATGGACCCCGGATGGGGTACGGACTCTGATACCTCAGTTGGTCCAAGAACGAAGAAGAGAGGCCATGCCAGAAGGAAGACTGCTTCCTGCAGGGCCAGGAATGCCAATCATTAACTGGGAATTGGGCGGGTCCAGCTAGAGGGTCTGTGACTCAGAAATGGCAAGGCCTGGTGGTGGGGTCAGAGGTCATGGGGTGGGAGGGTCTCTGGCTTGGAGCAGAGGCTCCTGGGAAGGAAGGTCCCCAGTCAGGCGCACTCATCCAGCTGAGAGTGGGTGTGGCCAGGACCGCAGCTTCTCAGGTGTTTGGAGAGCCCCCGGTGTTGGCGGCGGGCAAGGGGGGCCCTAGAAGGGAGTAGGGTGTGTCCCTGGGGTCAGGGCTGGTCCCTGTGCCCACCCTCCAACGGGCAGCTAGGTGCAGCACCCAGCCCCGCGGCAGCCCACCCTCTGGTCAGGAAGTCCCAGCCTGGAACTCCCACAGCCACAGGCCTGGGGGCTAGGCTGGGGAGGGGCTGCCTGGAGCTGCCCCCGCCACAGGGCACTGGCTGCTGGACCACACACCTGGGACTCCCCGGCGGCCCCTCCCCCTCAGCCCGGGGAGCCACATTCCTGGCATAACTGAGCCAGGTATGTGCCCCGCCCTCGGCGCCGCCACCTTTGGGTTCTCTGGGGGAGGAACCCGTGGCCTGCAGCCGCCCACGCGGGAGCTTGCTGTGGGTGCCTCCTCCAGCCATGTCTGGCCACCTGTTCCTGGTCCCGGCACTGCCCGCTGCCTTGCCCACCTCGAGGAGGCTGCTCCCGGGGTGCCCCTTCCTCCCCGCCAGAGGTCTGGGCAAGGTAGTGGCTCCTCACCCCCACCCTGCCGTGGGGCTGGCGCTACCCCCACCTTCCTCCCATCCAGGCAGACTTGGGGCAGCCCCATGTTCAGGTGGGCATCGCGCTGGGTCCTGGGCCTCACGCCCCCCTCGCCGCCCGGACCTGCTCCCCTTCCGGCGCCTCCCATCCTTGCTGCCCTGTGGGGACCCCCTCCTGAGCCCTTCCCCTCTGGTCTCAGGCAGGTCCAGGCTTGGGCTGCCTGGGATCCGACTTCTCCCGGGCTGGGGCCCCTGCTGGGGACAGCAACGACCTCCCCTCTCCGCTTGGGAGGAAGGAAGGCAGTACTGAGCTGGTGGAAACCGCCTGCCCAGGAGAGCGGCCGGCAGCTTCCGTTCCCTCTGCAGACTGGAAAGGAAAAATGAGTTTGAAGCCACCCCTTCCCTTCCCCCCCACTGGCTCCCGTCGCCTGCCCTCAGGCACTGCCAGGGCCTGCCTGCGCTCTTTGGGGTGTTGCACCCCACTGCAGGGCCAGGCATGGGGGGGGATAGCGCGGAGCTT